GAAAGTAGCCTTAATAGTGGGTCTTACAGCCTCTATTAGAGGTAGACTAAGGATTTTGGATATGAGTGAGACTTATGGCTTTTATTAGAAGCATGGTTTAAAATTGCGCAATATGAGGCTCACCTTGAGGCCCGCCTTTGCGCAATTCCAGTGAAAAGCGCCTTGAGGCTTATGCCTCAAATTTTTTTATGAGGCTTGCGTCTCAACTTGGTTGAGGCCCGCCTTAAGGCGCGCCTCACCTCACTGGTGTGAGGCTTACGCCTCAGCCGATATATATTAAAACTTATATAAATCCTGAAGTAAAGCCGCGAACAAATCACACTTCGTGTACCCCCTAGTCGCACTAACTTCCTCTCAACTTCCTTAACCTCTAATCCGTCGTCATTTTTAACATATTATTTGAGTGTTATATAAAAATTTACTTTTAACATTTATTTGCACTTAACACAATTTTTCATTATGAGGCTCACGCATCAAAATGCCTTGAGACTTACACCTCGCCTTACAAACAAAAAACGCCTCAATACCTAATTGCCCATTTTTAAACATGGTGATGACAGTGCTGATGACTTATGAGTTCTTATGTGATATGTCATTGCTATTTATTTTTTGAATTATATGTTAATGAAAAGAATATACTGTGATTTGGGAAAGATGGAGTTTGAGTTAAACTATATTTTGTGTTGTCTTATTATTGAGATATTTTGATTTCACTTCATATCTTGTGCATTTTTATGTTTTATATATTATTTATTAATTACTATATACAAAATTTATCATTTTATGTTTACGCAATTTTTTTATTTTGAAGCTTACGCCTCAAAACGCCTTGAGGCTTATGCCTCGCCTCATGAATAAAAAACACCTCAATACCCGATTACGCAATTTTAAACATTGATTAGAAGCAGCCCGAAGATGTTTGTTTGGATAGGACATATGACCTCCTTAGAAGTTGCCTAACAACGAGTCTTACGATTTAGCCCTGTAAGCTAAGTGACCCGTATAGTGGATCTTACAACCTAGCCCTTATAGACTAGAATGCCCAAGTGAGGGGTCTAGGGTTATGTTATTACGTAAACATTTCCCTCAGAGGTCGAACTTATGGCTTATATCAGAAGTTGTTGGATGGTAAGTCTTACAACCTAGTTCTTATAAATAAGGTTACCCGTAGGGTTTTGAGTTTTGGATTTAGGGTTGTTCATTTAGAAGTTTCCTAACACGCAAGTCTTACTGCTTCGCTTATAAGTAGCTTAAGTGCTTGAAGTTGTTTGCTAGTTTGACACTAGACTGTGATTTTGACACCTACTCGCCAACAGCTATTTTCTAGCTTTCAACAATATACTTATTGTTTGTTTTGTGCTCGTAGTTTTTTCCTACTATAGTAGTATGTTACTTTACTTTTAGCACTATTGTTTTGCATGTAATAGTTAGTTTCATTATATGATTTGATTTATAATATGCTAACTTTTATCTGCTTGTTTACAGGTAGATTATAGCCAGCAGTTTAAAGAGCTCTTAGGTAGATATAGTTTCGACTACAGCTGATGGTTTGAGAGTGTCTGAGTTTGTTTGTTTGAGAGATCATATGTCTTAGATATCTTGGATCTATTATTCAGAGTGATGGTGAAATAGAGATATTATCAGTAGAATTCAAGTTGGATGGTTGAAATGGAGGAATGCATCGTTGTTATGTGATAGAAATGTACCCCTCAAACTTAAGGGAAAATTCTATAAGATGGTAGTGAGGTCTGCAATGCTTTATGGTGCTGAATGTTGGCCATTAAAAGAGAAGCATAATACTAAGTTAAGTGTGGCAGAGATGAGGATGCTCAGGTGGATGAGTGGCTTTACCCTTAGAGATCGAATACGAAATGAGCATATACGTGAAAAGGTTGGAGTAGCTCCAGTAGAAGATAAGATTAGAGAGAGTCGCCTTAGATGGTTTGGTCACATAAAATGGCGACCTTCCGATGACCCGGTTAGGAGAGTAGAGGTATTAGATTTGACTTATGTTAAGAAAGGTAGGAGTAGACCTAAAAAGACTTGGTTAGAAAATATTAGAAATGACATTTCTTTATTAGATTTAAACAAGAATTTGACTTTTAATAGGACACAATGGAGAAAACGGATTCATGTAGCCGACCCCACGTAGTGGGATAAAGGCTTGATGTTGTTGCTGTAGAGATCATATGTTGGAGAGCTTTCGAAGAGCTTTTGGAGAGCTTTCGAAGAGGTTTTGGAGAGCTCGTGTTTGAGAGTTGCTTAGTAGATTGTACTTAGGTTGATTGGATAGTGGAAACATTGATTCTTTGCCTTTTTTTATTGCATTAATTAATTAGATGAATTAATTAAATAAATTTTAATTGAAATTAAGTTTTAATTTAAAAATCAATTGATCGATTTATTAGTTTAAATGTATTTTAAAGTTAATTATGTTAAATTAGATTTGATTACTAATCATTTTATATGAGTTAATTGAAAGTGGATTTGAAATTTAATTTATTCTATTTGTTAACTTAAGTGTATTTTAAAATCATGTGTTAAATTCAATTTACTCAACTTATTAAATTGGTTTTAAAGTTTAATGTTATTAAATCTTAGATTAATCAATTAAACATTTTAAAATTTTTAATTTGAAGTAAATTTATATCTCAATTAAATTTCAAGATTCCAATTTTATTGAATTTTAATCCAAAATATATTTTAAAATTATGCAACTTAACAATTTAATTAATATTATGGTTTTAATTTTAGATTACAGTTAATTCAAAATTTAAAGTTGTTAAAGTTTTAATTTGATTAAGTTGAATTATTTCATTTTAATTAATTTAATTAATTAGTTATTCAAATTATCCAATTAGATTTTTAGATTAGTTGTGTAGTTAATTATGACTTAATTAATCAAAAGATTTAATGTTTTAATTAGTTAAACTATCAAATTTTGTTCTCTGTTGTTTAAATTTTAAATTTTTTTGAAATTATAGTTTAACTGTTTTAGTTATCTTCATACTAGATTAATGAATTACAGTTTTCTGATTTAAGTTTTATCTGATTTTAAGTTTTTAATTCATGTTACTGTTATTAGTTGCATTCTTAATTCAGTTAACTAAATTACATTTTACTAGGTTATTTATTTATCCACTTAAATTTATTGGTTAACTATGGTTGGCTTGGATTTCAGACGGATGGGAAGTGCCAGAAGCGAGAAAGGAAGCCAGAGGTGATTCGCTTGGGGAAGCAATCACCGAGATTTTCAATTGCAAAGTGAGCGTAAGCCTTCTTGTCCGTTTTTTTTTTTGTAGGGAATCAAATAGGAGTTATTTCTATTGCATCCGGTATGTGAACGTGGGAACGTAGCTTCAGTTATCCGCTCCTCTACTTCACATTAATATATAACCGTTTTATTTTAATACTATAGTCCCGTTGCATTTCTGAAGATATTAATTTGATGCATTTCGTCTTTTCCTTGAAACTATATCCTGTTTGTCCTTTAATATAAATTTGACACTTAATATAAAACAAACTGTTTGAGCTTCTCGTAGTTGTTGGATTCAGAATCATTTTGCTAATGTCCACATCACTAAGGCAGATTTTATGACCAATACGTTAGAGCATGTGAAGGCAGGAAAATATACAACTTAGACTTCTTTGATAATATTGCATTATACTATGCTGTATTGTTGTTTGCTTGAAGACTTCTTTTTTTTTTTCCCTGTAAATATAAACAAGTGTTGTATACGGTTACTGCAGTTAGATGGATATCCAAATTTATTTGAGTTGATAACTACAAATATATGTGAATATATGCAATTGAATTGGTGGCCATATTGCTAATGACTACGCTTTTACTGTCTTCTTCGAACTTGACGCCTTTCCATCAATAGAACAAGCTGGTATAAGGGAGACCTTGTATTATAGTTCATTGATGCAATGATAAGCTATAAAAAATTGCTATGGGCTTTAACAATCTATCATAAGCATAGATTTCTTTAAATCTATATCCAAGAATAAGAATTATGTGAATGTATCTCTGAGCTTAATGTGATAGTAATTAAATTATTGTTGTTGAAAACCTCTGAACCGAGTGAATTGCTGCCGAATGACATCATTAAATTACGGTCATGGCCAGAGCCCGTATGATCCCAAATGACATTTAATCCTTGAGATATGAATCAATATGATATAATCAATAAGGCGCAAAGCCCTCTGTTATTTAAAGTGGATTCAAATTTATTCCCTTAGATAAACACTCCCCCCCCCCCCCCCCCCCCCCCCCCCCCCCACGTCTACAAAATACCCTTGGACTACACAACTCATGGCTGCCGACAAGAATCCTTATATTAGGTTGGGCCGACTACCTCATCTGACTAAGTAGACCAGGGACCACGATGGCCCGAGAGGACGGAACCATGGGATCTTGATCGAGCTCATCATCACTTCCCCCACCATCTGCTTTAAGTGCAAGATGTTGAAATTTTCAAATTTTAAATATCAAAATTTCAAATACCAAAACCCATGCTGCTACTATATGCCAAATACTGCGTTTCTCTACATATATGTTTGATGACTAGTCTTAATCGAAAGTTCTCTCTCGTGATCAGGAAGGGTAATTAACTATAGGGACTTGCGCCTATAGGAAACCAAAACTCATCATAAAGTTCTCGCAAAATGAGGGTGAAATCTCTAGGTAGTGTCTTATCTTACATCCCAATCTGCCTTCTGAAAATTTACCCCGGAACTTAATCCATTAAAACTCCTCTGAAAGTAGAGGGAAGTCTGGAGCGCGAATTTTCGAAGCCCACATTTATTTAATAGAGCTTCAAAGAAACATTTAAAGAGAAGTTTGAGAAAAACAGAAGAGGATTCCCATCCAGTTATCCCACCATCATGCTCATATTCAAATGATTCCTATAGGGAAACTAAAGTAAGCCTTAAGGCACCATTTTAAATTAAAAAATAAAGTGCAATATTCAATTCAAACAATTCTATGTTACAAATACCTTGATAAATGTTTCAACAACCTGCAACTTTGAATTGACATTCATTGAAACAAAGTGTTGAAGACCACTCATTAGGACCTGAATGAAATAAACACTGTTATCATTGTGAAAAAGTTCAAAATAGGACTAAAACATATGCTCTTTAGCATGATGTAACAATGTATAAACACCGCATGAAGACAGACCTGAAGATCCAAAGACATCAGCACTCGTCCTTCATCGTTACATCGCCTAACACGTGACAGACCTTCAGTGAGTACTTCAGCGACATTCTCAAGTCCATACTCTAGGAGGAGATCTTGAACCTGGTGCATCATGTTGTGAAATCACAGACTAAGAATTGTTTGGTGGGATTTTATTTGGCACATTTTTTATATTCAAATGCAGTATGTACTTTTTCAACTATTAATTAATGGAACAACTGAGAATATACAAATGATAAATCGTTGCTATAGAAACATTTTTATTTATTTATTTGTTTTTTATTTTTATTATTATTATTTTTTTTATCGTTGCTACAGAAACATAATTTTTAAAAAAATATAAAAAATATTTATAATTACATTAAAAAAATTTTAAAACAAATGGCGCGCGCTATTTTGCGTCGTGCGCCATGCGCCATGGCATGCTGTGGCGCAAATAGCGCGCGCCATTTTGAACGTTTGCGCCGCGCCATGGCGCGCGCTATTTTGCGCCATTGACATCTATGTTTTACACTATTATTTGGAAACACAAACAGTGATATTTTCCAAGTAGTTTGATAAGTAAACCACAACATGAAAAGTACATAACTATATGCATATATACAACATACCAACGTATGGGATACACACTTTTTCCACTCAGTAGGAGAATCCATATTTTCATACAACTATATTTTATACTCATAGATTTCAAAAGATAAAAGCAACACCATCCATCCTTCTTAATATCACTAAAATTTGTGGCGTATACAATTTCATTTCCTTCAAAAAATTGCTTGATCGTCCCAGCACCATGAAAATTTATAATGGTACAGTTAAATCACAAGACAAACTCTAGATAACTGCTTCAAATGAAACTATGTTAGTACTAACAAGAGCAATTTTGTTGCATTTGGTGTATTCCCAAAAGTTACACCATATGGTCCTTGCCTGTAAGACAAGGCAGTCCACAGTGGTCTGCCGTGGGTGCTCTTTACAAAGGAGTTTGTAATAGGAACTTCAGCAACATTTACTACAAACTATATATAAGAAACTTGTAAAAAGAAAACTGGCTTATCCAATTGATGCAAAACTTTCCCTAAATTTTGTTCTTGAGAAGTTGGCTTTGAAGAGCTAGTTTACCTCCTTAGCAATTCCACCAAGTAGCAGCCTTGTTTTGTAATGTTTAAACTCCCCTAATAATAAATCAACATACCTGAAAAAAAACATCATATTGGCTCATGTACTTTTTGACTTGGAGGTTGGAATCTATAATATGCCAGATATTAGTGCTATTCCAATGTGAAGAACTATCGTAGGTTAAATTATAGTTGACAAGAAAAAAGAAGTAATACACGACAAAGGAGGCAGTATATAAGATCAACAAAAATATTGGTTTGCAACGAAATCAATCAAACAATATAAAGAGAATGAAAAAAAGAGAGTAAAAGTTACAGAAGAAAAGATGCACTCTTAAGCCTCCAAATAAAATGCCTTAAAATGAGTATTTAGATGACATTCATATAAAAAAAAGCTACCTCTTCTTAACATCAAACCTTTATCCCATGCACTACGTGAGGTGGGCTACATGAATCTTTTTTTCTCAGTTGTGTAACATTAAGAGTTAAATTCTCATTTAAATATAATTAATAAAAGTAATTTCAATAATTAACCAAGTCTTTTTAGGTCTACCTCTACCTTTTTTTACATAAGCCGGGTCTAATATATATATACTCTGCTAATTGGGTCATCGGAGGGCCGATAGTTTGGGATCAAATCATGAAAGGCGCTTCTCTCTCTCTCTAATTTTATCTTCCACTGGAGCTACTCCAACCTTTTCACATATACTCATTTCACATTATATCTCTAAATGTAAAGCCACTCATGCACCTGAGCATACTCATCTCTACAACACTTAACAAGCTAGCTTAAAAATTGCAATTCTGATCAGGCCATCGCCTAAAGAGTTATTGAAGGCTAATAACAACATATAACCTCCTAAAGAGTTAAAGGATTCTTTTGAATTTAAGTACTCATTTGATACTCCATTGTGAGTCTCTTGCTAAAATCATCACAACTCCATTACAAGGACTACTTCAGATAATCCATGCCTCATTGCTCTACGTTGAATGCTTGTCAGCCTACTGTTATGCATGTGGAGAGAGAAATTAAATCCAGGAGAAGATATCAAGAGGGGTCTTGGAGTGGTATGAGATTTCTCATGTAACAGCATTGGTATAGGGCTCTGACAAATCTAGTTCCAGCTGAACTGCCTCTAGCTACAAGATGGATTCAATACCGTGGGTAGAGGAGGGGGTAGTGGGGGATGATGTTTTCTTGACTAAGATAAAAAGAATGTCTTAGCCAAAGATATAAAGCATAAAGAGGTTGGGCCACCCAAGCCTACTGAAGGTGTCCACATGTCACTAGCTAAGCCTCCATTAATAATTAGCAGTGATATTTTGGGGACCTTTCAATCATGTTGCCCGAAATGCATCATAGAAACAAATAATGGCATTGTTTTAGATAAAAAAAAAAAAAAAAAAAAAAAAAAAAAAAAAAAAAAAAAAAAAAAAGGCATTGTTTTAGATGCATGTAACAAAGGTTTGTAGTCACAAATCCAGTCTTTATCATGCAATGATGTGACTGTGCCCGTATTTAATTGAAGTTTTAAACGTAGGCATGCTATCAAGATATACTAATCCAATCCGCATTGGAAAGTGTGATAATTTTGCTATTATACAAAATAGAAATTACTTGACAGAAAAAAATTAAATAGGATCCCAACAATAAAATCAACGTTAAATAAAATTCTTCTAAAAGAACAGAGAATACATCAATAAACTCTCATACTGACAAAAGGAATACTGAAATAGAAAATAGATCAACAAAAACATCTCTTAAAAATCATTAGACGTACCCGTTATGCTCTAATCCAAGCTCTTTAACCTCCCACTTAGCGTTGGCAATCTTATCTGCATACCTGAAATAAAATATACACAATAAAAAATTAAGTTCATAAATAAAGGAATATATGTAATCAAAATGACAAACTTTGCAAACGATACTAAAGGGGCACGTGCCCCACCCCGGTGGTGGTTGGTTGCTTGAATTTATTGCAGAGTAGAAGGAATTTATTGGCGGGAGTTCGGGCATTGTCAAGAATCTCTCTCACGTATGATTATTTTTTGTTCTCGTGATTCATTTAATTAATCCCGTTATATCGATTTGATTATGCGTAAGGAACTTAGGTATTGATTCTATAATGGATGCAGTGGCAATCGACTGCTTATCTCAATTTGATAGAGCAAGTTATGTTTTCTAGTTTGGGCTTTTTTATTGAGTGGCATTTAAAGAGCCCATTTACTTTTGTTTTGCTTCCTCTTCCACGTGCACAGTGGAACCTTCTCTTTCCCTCGACCCAGACGGTCCGACGGAGATTGCTCTAAACGAGTCGGTTTGCTTTTCCTCTACCTAGACGGGGACAAGCGAGACGGCAGTGACAAACGGACTGAGGTAATGTTTTTTTTTTCTTGGTTGATTTCATCTTAATCATGTATTGATTCGATTTGAAATAGATTTTATGATTATTTTGCAATAAGATTTTCAACGTCCTGTATTTAGTTCCTTCTTAATAATTTGATTTTTTTAAATAGTATATACAGGTCCTAAGTCCGGATGTTAAACGTTGAGGAAAAATTTAAAAAAAAATTAATTTAGACCCCCTCTAAATATATTTTTTGGCTCTGACACTTATTGGTTTGACAAAATATTTGGAATAATCGTATGCCCTTCTTGGACCATCATATGAATCAAGCAACGAAACCTACACATTAAATTGCATCCCTCCCTCATGTTCTTATCAATGTCTTTCTTTACAAACACAAAGAAATTGGCTGAAACAAAGGATGAACAAAATTTATACACAAATCCCAGAAAGAATAAATAGCTCTAGCTCTATTTTAAGGCCTTGCCAAAAAAGAATTACCACATCTTGCGTACCAGGTGCTCGTATTTGGTCGCACAAACTAAATCAAATAACAGCCCAAACAATTCAGAATAGAGATCCTACTAGTCCATATAAAGTAACATAAAAATAGTTCTTCATTGTCTAGGACCCCAGGTAGAATTTGAAAAATATTCCTAGTAAACTTATTTATTAGGAATCTCCTAATTACTCACGTCAGCCAACAACTTGTTACATAACAGGGGAGAGGAAGATGCAAGCTGAAATCACATGACCAAGCTACAAAAATGCCCAAAAAGGATAATACACAAATGTAATTTTATCAAAAAATATATGATCAAAATATCTTCAAGGATCATGAGGGTCAAAAATAACTGGATTAAAAGATAGTGAAAGTTGAAAATAAGAGGACCAAACCACAAAAAGACAATGCACAAAACAAAACTGTAACTCCACTAAAAAACAACGGAGATATTTTATCACAGAATATTCTTGGAGGGCAATAGAAATCAACAAAATCAACAGAAATCTTTCAAATGAACCAATACAAGGCTGGGCGTTAAGTAGAATGCTCAAATCAATACATTTCATCACAAAAATATCTTGAATGATCACAATAGAGTCATAGAATCAGATTCAAGGATGGTGCAAATTGAAAATCAAAGGACAAAGCTACAAAAAGACCAAGATGGACGAAAAAATTTTGCAACTCCATTGAAAAACAAGGGGGGTATTTTTCTCACAAAAGATTCTAGGAGGGCGAGTCATATGATAATCTAGTGATAGAAATTAACAAAATCACTCAAATGGACCAAAATAAGGGATGAACATATAAAGCAATAAGGATTAAAACCTACAAACCATATGACAGTAGCATCAAATAGCAAAACTCCCTGAAAGTAATAACCAATGCATTATGCAGTAAGTAATTCATGTGAAGAATCAAAAGAAAACACTTTTTTCATTCACATCAGAGCTTTAAGCTAGCATCAATGTAGATGACTTGCATTCTTTGAAATTCGAAGTAACTGCTCCCTTAAATGCATTGTCTAACACAACATGAGCATTTGGACACAAAAAATGAAATAGAGAAAACATGCAAAAGAAAATCCATGGAAGTCAGATGAGTGAGTAACAAAAGAAATTGCTTCCACCTTTGAGAAAAGGAATTGGAATGTATAGTAATAGCTTTGATACTACACATGGTCTACCTGGACCATGCTAATTAGGACTTGTACAACAAGTGGGAAAAAAGATATGCTAGTGTAGTCACTTTTATGCACCAAAAAAAATGGCAATCTAGCAGAGCACTGGACGAATTAGTTCGTTTAAGATCAGTGAAAATTTAAACCAAAACAAAAGCTAGGACATCTAATTCAATAATGCACAGAAAGAAGGGATGACCACCACACAAGAAGCAAATACAAAAGGTAAGCAATGCGGAAGCATATGAGAAATCATTATTACTGATTACAGAATTTTTACCCATTGATATGGAGAAGCGTCCTTGCAGTTGTCTTATGAATGTGTTCAGTTAGATCAGGAACTGAATCTACCTGAGAAAAGGAAAGAAATTAATATCATGCTTAAAAAAATTTGCAACACAATAATTCTATCAAGTGCATTAGAGAGAACAAATGCAAACCTAAAGACAAGCATACCAGATTCCCAAAGAAATCCTCAATCAATGCAGAGTTCTGCTGAAACAACCTTGACTGAAAATGCGCTTTTGATCTATGCAAGATCTGAGCAACAAAGGATATCATCTCAACTGCAACACATCTTTCCTGTGGCATAGAAAATCACAATGATCTTTGTACGCAGTACAAAAAATATGTTTCACATAATAAAATTAAGCTACTAAAGGTAGATAACACAACTTTCCCGTGTTACAGAAAATCAGTGATCTTCATATGCAGTGCCAAACCAAAACACGTTTCACATAATAAAATTAAGGTACTCGACGTAGACAATTAAAGAAATCTGGGAAACATGAGAGGAGCGGAAGTGAGGATTCATGCACACGTTCATAAGTTAATCCTCACACTAAAGGATCGCATTTTCTTCGTTAACCATGCTTCAATTATCTTGTCATTCTTAAAGGATTTTGCATGGTAATTTCAAGGTTCATTTTTTATCCTCTGCTATAAAATTTCATGGATATTCGGGTAAAAATGACAGTTAAAATCAAGCTTCTATTTCACAACAGAAAAAAGCATCCAAGGGATTGGATAGGATGAAAAATAGAATATTAAATATATGGTTTTGACATTAGAGGCAACAAGGACTTATTATGATAGGAGTGTAAAACAGTATTCACTACTATTTAAGATGAATGCGACTCAAAGTATAGCAATTTACCAAAGATGATGAAGCTTGTAAAATAGGGAGGCATAGCTGACAGAATCAAATGGATAGAAAGAACATAGAAGTTGTTTGCTTTGAATATGTTTCCAAAACACGGCTCAAAATGATATATCTGAAAGCGTAACTGCTGAAAGAAAATCATGAAGAAAAAATTTACGCTACAGTCAAAAGATAAAAAGATTGGCAGGGTAAGACTGAACAATCCAAGGCTGATGCTTTCTTTTTCAGGTGAAACTAATTATGTAAACTGTGAAGGTATAATGGTATAAAGTTCTGACATAGTAATAAAAGAACACGCAAAGCAGAAGGAATAAAATAACTTATCAGAATCACAATCTGCCATATGACAACAATTATCTACAAGTGTTGGGCTCCGAAAATTCAGCCCCGGCCTCCACCCGCTTTTTCATTTTTATTTGAGCGAGAGAGTTTTAACTGAATAAGTTCCGGGGTAAATTTTGGAAGGCAGATGGGTTTGTAGATAAGACACTACCCAGAGATTTCGCCCTCATTTTGTGAGGACTTTATGATCTGAGTTCTGGTTTCCTATAGGCGCAAGCCCCTATAGTTAATTACCCCTCCCGATCACGAGAGAGAACTTTCAATTAAGGCTAGTCGTCAATCAGATACGTATAGAATACATGTATCTGGCATGTAGCAGCAGCAATGATTGGATTTGGAAATTTGGAAAATGGGTTTGGATTTGGGTATTTGGAAATTTGGAAAGTTTTGGGATTTGAAGGTTTGATATTTAAAATAGAAATTTTCACCATCTAACACTTAAAGCGGATGGTGGAGGAATGGATGATAGACCCGATCAAGATCCCATGGTTCCGTCATCCCGGGCCATCGTGGTCCCTGGTCTACTTAGTCAGAGGAGGTAGTCGACCCAACCTGACAGAAGGATCCTTGTCGGCAGCCATGGGTTGATTCGTCCAAGGGGACCTTGCAGACCGGGGTTGAATATTTGCCTAAGGGGACAAATTTGAATCCATCTTAGCTAACAGAGGGCTTTGTGCCCTATCGATCATATCCTATTGATTCATATCTCAAGAATTTGATATCATTAAGGAGTGTATTGTGTCTGGCAATAACAGGTATTTCGTGGTGCCATTTGGCGGCAAAAACCACTCGGTTCAGAGGGCCCCGAGTCATAACCGTTTACCTGCAGTGCCATTTGGAGGCTAAACTGCCGGTTAGAGGACACGTACCACGCCCTTACTAGCAGGAGATTATCTTGAGAATGGATCCTAGTGATATTTTCGACTAGGCATTTAGCTCTTTTGTGAGCTGAGGTATAATTTTGATTTGTCCACAAAAACACAGAAAAACTGTTGCGGAGGATATGAGGATTTTTGCTATTAATAGTGATTAATAGTTTAGGGGTTGATTTTCAAGATTTAAAATATTATTTGAAATATTTCGAGAATTTTCTGGACTTTTTTTGTGAGGAATTTTGAATGGTATTTTAAGTATTCTAATTAAAGCATTTGAAAAATACTATATTTGATCGATCTCTCTCACGGGTTGATATTGGGTTCAATTCACAACGGCAATACATGCACACGTGGGTGTTAGGGGTTAGTTTCTCTTTGTTGATTGAACCCTTTGTCACTTGACACAATCTATTAACCGAGGGATCGGGGTTTTTTGTAGGAACTTCCGTTCACTTGATTAAAAGTGTTGAGTTCACTCATTATATAAAAGAGACCTTAGACAGCGCACTAAATAATGACAATATAATTTAAGAAACAAATTATTAAGTGGACTAGCCAGAACGCATGCGGATATAATTTTGTTTGTTGAGTGTCGAACGCTGTCGACTTATATTAGGACCGTATAGAAGGATCGGTTTTCGAACTGAAATTCACTTGTCAACCCGCGCAGCATCTAAGACATCAACGTGTGCACCAAATAACACACGTACAGGCATCGGGGCCATGCGGGTTCTTTGGATTGCATACATTAAACAACAATTTATGTAGGTACATTATGTGTATAAAAACTACAGTGCACGTGTAGCAGATTGGATATATTTTTGAAAAATATTTGTGAATGTACGTTCTTGTACCGCTTTTTTGCTTAGACATTGCAGAGATCCTGGACGGTGGTGATGAAATTGCAAGCTCTATAATGGGTCAGATTATTTCTGACTGCTAATATAGATAAACAAAGAGAATAAGGAATTTTTTTATTTTTGCACTTAATTTGTTGATTATTTCCGTAGGCGGGTTCATAGTGCACTAACTTTAATTCTCGCACCTGTCTTACCAATAGAGTAGTGGGGCATATACACTAAATAGTTTTTATTGGCATCAATTTTGTAGACGGCCACATTAAGTATATAATAGGACTTCCACGCTAGCATATTTTAACGTCAGTCGCGTAGGAATCTTTCCACTTTTTGTTATGCATTCTTCATTTCATTGTTGTAAGGCAGAATTTCATCATACTTGTAAAATAATCAGTGCCACAACTTTGTGAGCACAATCACTTATTCGCTTACAAATTTTAGGTTGCTCGTAAGGGATCCACATCCTGCAAATTCTAACTGCTGTTGTTTTTAAGGTGGATTCATACCTTTTATATGCTTATCAACATAGACTTGAAACCAGTCAAGTCTTTAAGGGGCCAAAAAACGAATATTAGAAATTATTTATAGAAGTAATAATTAGCATTTTTATTTTTACTAAAGGTTAAGCATCTGATCATCACAATTGATTTAAAAAATCCATGAGTTTTTGAATTCTATTGGTAGAGTCCAGCACTGGTAAAAACAATTAAAGTTTTTTTTTCGCAAACATAATGAGCAAATAGAAACCGATCCAAAGTTCTTCAAAATAAAAGTTTCGGATTATTCTCAAAAAGATTGGTAGCGGCCACTAGATAAAAATTCAATTAGCAATGATAAAAAGAAGCAGGAGATATAGGATCTCCATTCCTTTAACCAGAGAATGAATTTAAAGACATTAGTAGAACCATTGACAATAAGGAAATAAACACTTCCATACAGTTCTTAACAAGCTTAATAAAAAATTTTAAAGCTAATACTCAAATATGATAAATAAGGACTAGTCAATATTGTCATAAGCCTTTTGCCAATTTAAGATTAAAAATAAAATTTCCCCACTCACACTCTGACATCCATCCCAAGTCCATGGTAGAGTTCTTGAGCCAACAAATTTTATCCAAATAACCTAATCCATTCATAAACCCCATCTAAGAGGTAGAGATAAATTTTAGGTAATGGAAAGTAAGACAAATTCATGATATATTTTTAGAAATTCAACTTATTAAAAAAAGTACAAAGACTGACAGGTCTAAATCATTCCAAGTGTGGGCAAAATTTGTTTTTGGGAATTAAGGCACATGGAGGTAGATATGTAAATTTAGGGATATATTCTGCTAAAAATCAGGATAGGTAGCAAAAATATAATTATTAATAATATGCCAATGAAATTTAAATCAAATTGAGTAAGCAAGACATTCAGGGCCAGAACCAATTCACTTATTCATACATACTAAATAAGTATCTTTAACCTCCTCAAAATGAAGGTTTTAGATAAGATTTCCATATTAATCTTCTTGGGAGATAAGGTTTGGAATAAAGGAGTGATCTTAATCTGAACTGGGTTAAGATTTGCTGAATGTTGCTCAGTTCCTTAAGAATCCAGTGAGTTTATCTGAAAGTGAAAGTTATACCTGTTGTTGAGATGTGGTTCTGTTAATTTTCCCATTGTGTTTGAGGTGACTAATACGTGATTGTGGAAGGAATCTGTGTCACTTTTGAACTTTGATGTTTGTGTATTCCTATACTAAATTCCTTCGTTTTCGTGGTGCTTAAAGACATTTGCTTTTCTTTGCTCTTCGTTAACCTTATTCACTCTTGACATACAAAAACACATAAGTCTTTGTTTTGCTTTTGAGCCGGTATCTTGTGTTTTGAAGATTTTTAATGCTCGTGGTGTTTAAAATCACTCAAAAAGAGATCAATTGTTGGAGCTTTCATTGTTACCCTGAATGAGTAGAGCTTGTAAGATTTCCAATAGATATTATCCTCAAGTTATGTATATGAACACATTGGGTGCTCTCGTCATTCGTTATGATTTCATCCATTTTGCTTTGTGGTATGGTTGAAATGTTCATAGTCAGAAATCATTTGAAATTTGAGCTCTAGTTCATTTGTATAGTAGAAGTTAAGTTTTGCTCTATAGTCTTGTTCAGTCCAAGCTCTTCATGATGTTATATAGTTCGAGTTCAACTTGAGTTCATGTTGCTCAAATCAAACTCTTCTTGGTTGAGTTTTGATTCAAGTCCTTAATTGAGTTCAACTGCTCAAGTCAAATTTGAATCAAGTTCTTTATTCACAAGCTTGAGGTTCAATATCAAAGCTCACTTGGCATTCCAATTCAAGTCAAGC